CCAGGGAATGGAAAGAAAAGACTATTTCATGCATTTTGAGACAACTTCAGGCATTTTTCAGTAGGAGATCTCGACCCGTACTTGATATTGAAGGAACCATCGAGCTAGGGAGGATATCGAGTTAAAGTGTATATCAAAAGTTCAGAAATTGACTCCCAGTTTTGTATATGCTTCAAGGCTCAAGGCGATAACCAAAACGGAGAAAGTGTGCCAATACAAATTTCGGCCAATTGTCAAACGTCTGTAGTTCTTTATGTTCTTGACCCACCATTTTGAAGCTTTTTAATGAAGAGATCCATCGTAAATTTATGTGTGTTGAATTAACTGCTTGCAAGACTGCCTGTACTCACTCATCTGGCCATATTTCATAAATCCTATTTTCAAATCATTTTCTTTTCGAAACACATAAAAATTGGTGCTCCAATATGTGAAGATAATTTCGGATCAAAATCATCAAAAAGGGCCCATTTTGATGTTTCATTAGCACAAATCAAATTATGATCTTCATCTTTGGCTTTACTACGTCCCTACTGGGATTTTACACCGGCCCTTAACTTAGTGTTCTTTGAGCACTTCCACAGTGGATAACTGAGAGCTTTCTAAGCCTGTACCATTTTTGCATTAGCATAAATTGTGTGGATTCCAAGACGAAGCCGGGAATTGAAGCCAGCCGCCTCCAGCATGGTCTTGCTTTATAGCTACGCCTTTACCACCTGAGTTGAGGGAGGCCCCTCAATTTATGATAAATCTATTAAATTCTACATTGAAATCGCTTCCAAATTCTGGGTCAAGAACACAAAGAACTTGCGTGGTTGACGAGTAATCTCCATTCAAAGATATAATTTTGAAAAACCTCAAAAATCCAGGGAGAATTCAGACAAACAAACATAACTCTTGCAAGTTGTTCATCGAACAAGCATTTATCGATCAATTTCAAAGTATCTTAGTTGATAGTACCGCCACCTGTGGCGCACATAGTCAATTCCCTTGCGTTTGACGTTTTCACACTACCGCCATCTGTTCAGCATTATTTTATTTTTCTTTGATTTGTTTTCCGTACTGAGTACCAATGCTTCCGACGCCATGAAGGCAGCTCCCACACCTGGACCCTACCTATCAACCCATCAACTCATGGACCGGGAACCAACGGCCAAAGGAAGGTGTGATCAGAGATGTGTATGCCTCAGAAAATCCCGGCGGCGCTTCCTGGGATTAATCCCAGGCCTTTTGGGGTGAGAGGCAATCAAACGTACCAGTGTCATGATAATTGGAATTCCATCTTTACTCCTACGGTGAAATCCCATAAGCAAACGTCACTGAATGTGTGAAATATGGCGAGTTTTATCTTATTCAGTCAGTTCACCGAAAAATTCCGACACCAAGTGTCAACATTTGAGTGAAAATGCCATGTCCACCAAGTTTCGTAGTCGTGAATTGCTTGCTTTAGCGTCTCTTTGAGTTATTCAGCCCAATTTTCCTCAAAACTTTCTTCTGAATTCCCAGAGTTTTTATCCGAATACGTTCGCAAATATCCTTTAAATATCATCATAGAATTTCCCCAGAAACCGTTTCACTTCTACCCTTGAAATTTCCTCCGCAATTTTTTAACATTTATTTGTAGAACACTATACCTAAATTTTAAACAGAAAAAATGGAATTTATTCTACAATACTTGTTTAATTCGAAAATTAATTTTTTGCTGTGAATTGATAATGTAATACAGAAGCAGTTCCATGAATTCCACGTAAATAATGATGATGATGAAGATGATAGTGGTTTACCACCCATTGTAGCACGGAAACTAAGTCCGAAAGCAGTGGGCTCTCTTTTCTGCTTGTCTTGATCAAGCTTAATAACCTCTGATGGTCCTCAACATGTCGCTGCATGAAGGGCCAAAAACGGATTGGGTAGATCGATAGGCAAATCGCCTATACGCATCTACGGAACAATAAAGAATCTTCTTCCAGCAACTTGATCAGCCAATTGGTCAAAAAGACAAGCCCCCAAACAGGAAGATGCCCCAATGAGTGGGGAGAAGAGCCCGCCCTTTGTCCACGAAATGTTATCAACCGGGAGTTGGCATTCCCACTCTCCCCGTCCAAATCGCTTCAATCGGGTGCCCTGTTGGACCGGCCCTTCCCTTTTATTTATGTATTTCAGTGTATATACGAGTAGTTTGTTATGATTATTGACCATAATACTTACATTTTGATGAAGATCGTGCTACTTATTTTACCTTTTGTGTGATACTTATCATCACAGAAACCAATCTTGAATCGTAGACCAGGTTCATCAACAAAACACTCTTTCAGAGATGGAGCCTGTAACGCTGCATGAATCCCACGTAAATAAAGGGACAAAAAGAGTTCTTTTCCAATGTGAATCTGAAAATTTTCTTGACTCCAATGAATTCTAACTACTCCGTGCTGCCTTTGCACAATACCCCAATATCCTTACCCCAGGTTTCTTTTTAGGCAGATTGACTAACATGCCTGCTTTTCAAAGGAATTCAAAGCAACCTGCTTTCACTGAGTCACTCATGTTTTGGATAACTAAAAGTTTCTACCAACGGAGCACTCATCCAGCTGTGCAATCCACCTGTTCTTTTCCCCATCTTATTGCCCCCTCTTTGTTTGCTTTGCTTCCTTCTTGCTAACAGCGGTGCACGGGTACAGTACAAGACACCCAGGCCTTAGGTGGCCTTAGTGTGACCGTTTTTGCTTACTGATCTTAGTAATCGTGGTTTCAGTTGCAGGCCCCCATATATATTTTTTATAGAGTCAGCTTGCTCGTCGTGTATTGTGTGACACTTACCGTTGTCGTCACTGTCACCGGCTATGAAGGAATACAGCAACAACTCGGTTATAAGCAATGTATTGTAATCGTGGATTTGATCTCATATTCAAAACTCATTAATCGCTTTTATTATGCCATGAACACAACAATTTAATTGGTAGTTGGCACCCAAAACGAAGAGTAGAGAATTGCTCGGCTTCTATCAAAGCGAGTATAACGTCAAAATTTTCCTACCTGCATCATGACGCGTTTTGTATATAATGAGATAACCTTAATTACGGAGATAACCACCTTTAATGATTTTGATCCGTAAAAACGCAATTTAGGCCTTAATTACGGAGATATCCACATTTAATGATATTGATCCCTAAAACACCCTTCAAAACGCAATTTAGGCCTTATTTACAGAGATAATCGCATTTGAGGATAAGTGCTACTCGCAAGCATCATCTCTGTGATTACAGGTGATCTGAAAATAACGAAGTAGCAACCGCGGGCGGTCAATCATGTTCGTGCTCATATCTGCTGTCTCTAAAGCTCGTTCAGATCTACCGGCGGCGAACTTTTTATCTGTGTGACTGTTGGGTGCGTGAGTCGCCTCTTTTTTTAACGTGGGGCCATCGAATTGAAAGGTGCGACGCTGTCACATTCAGCATTGTGTTCTAAATAACTCTAAAGAATTCTGAGGAGTAAATGATCTGTAGTAAAACATTCATAATTCCCTGAAGACTTGCCATGCTACTGAATAAAATGTATACGGACTTTGTGATCTTCATACTCCTTAACTCCTACTAGACTTACTATAGTGTTTAATGAACTCAAACTAAGACATGTAGTCATAATGAAACAAGATATTCGTGCAATGAACGGCATTGTTCGAGTTGCTCCCTGTTGATAATGATGTTCGCAATCAAGCAATACTTAATTAAAACATGTCGGAAGTGACACCTTTACGCGTGAAGCCTAAACCTTGCAGAAATAGTATTTTTTTCCATAATTGAATCCGAGCGCACTCCTTTTCATCAGCTCCACACTGCTATTCAAAAATGTCAGCGCAATGCGTCACGTTTCCGATGCAAGGTGAACCGACCATCGAATCAATTAAATTCAGAAATGAAATACGATCACGAGCGCCCCAGGGGGGAAATTCCACAAAGTCTCCCGGTAACAGATATTAATTGGGTACACGATCCTTCCATCCTAGGAAGTTCTCCTTTCGGATTTTTCCGCTGTCCGAGTGCCGAGCATAACGACATGCTTCAAGGAATGATCAATCGCTAGAACAAAGCACGAGTACACCTTCAACGCTAAGCCATTGTCCAAGCACAGCTGGGAAAAAGGTCTCTGAAATGCATCCAAGCCTCCAGATGCAAGCAGCCAAAAGACAAAAATGAACGATTCTCTTGACCCTGAAACACTTGGTCGATTTACTATATAGCTAAATGTAATCTTTCAAGATCACACCACTTTCGGTGCCTAGCGGCCAATTACAACGACAGTCAATCTCAAGATCAACATCATTCTGCATGCAACGAAGCTTGATGTGCGTCAATCGTAAAAACATTTGTTATACCTAGTTCTTTTTTTTAACAATGAACTGCATCAAAAACAAAAATACAGAAGCCCATTAACAATTCGCCTAGCAGTGAGTTAATATGAATTTATACAAACACGTGTCGAAGCGCTTGGTTGAGTTCGACTTGCCTTCTTGATGTGCAAAAAGTTCAAAGCAGTTAAAACTAACCTAGTAGGCATGACCTTGAGTCATGGAAAGTTTACTCCACCGATTCGTTCATTGCATCGGTCAGGTGGGTTTATGTTTAAGACAACAACTATTGCTACTGCTGTTCCAACTATTCAGTACCAAGATTGATGACTTTGCTAGCCAAAGTCAGTGCTGAATACGAGCGCTACTGCAATACCATATAAATCAAATACGGCACGCGGCTGAACTTCGATTACATTTGCGATTCCGCTCTGTTTGAAGTTAATGAGTTATTGCCGTGAATGTAACGCGTAAATCAACCGATCGATACACCAGCAGCTGTTTGAACGCAAGTTCCGGATATCCTGTGACATACAGAAGCCCCGCGGGAAAAATTTCTTGGTCTTGGCCTTTCAAACGAAATAATAATGCCATAATTATTATGGCTGCAATCACCTTATAACTACTAATGCTGAGCTAATTTCTTCCATTCTTTCAGATAAACATCTACCGGTTCCAAGAAGACCTAAGCCGTCAGCACCATGGGTACCTTGCAACAGTTAGCCGTCATCAAGGGACAGCAGCGAAGCCTGATCCCCGGACTGCTGCACCGGAACTTCGAGGCCAACGTGGACAAATTCTGCGGAACCGACACGGCACTGATTTTCAACGGTAGGAACTGAGTTAACACTTAAAATCTCACGGCCTCTGGCGCTCGGAGATATCATGAATGCATTTTTCGAGTTTCGATTTTGTCAGTCGAGTAATGCAGACATACTTACAACAAATAGGTATACTGTGTCGTAGGTTTTTTCCTTTGTGCAAAGAAGACTGTAAACTTTAATAATTTCGGATGTTTAGGATGAGGAAGTTCAGGTTTCGAGGGTTACGTAAATTTAAGGGATAGCTAATTTAACAATCTAATTCAATCTGCCAATTAAATTGTCGACTGCACTCGTCTGGTAGGAATTCAAATTCACTTCATTGTTATCTAAACGTCAAACAAACACCGTCACTCACCGTCACACCCATATATGATTTAGTACTCGCATTCTACTCCCTTCGTGCTAGGCGACGAACAGATTACCGGATCAGCGATTCGTTCGGATGCAAATTCGAAGCTGTATCCAACACTCAGCAATTAATTAATTAATACTCGATTTATCACCTGCTAAGTTGGACCACGCACGCAACGACGCGAGCGAAAATCAATTTGCTCTGAGGTTTCCATTCTAAGTTTGCTCAAGCGTCTTTCAGAACCGAACCAGCAGTTTAAGTAGTTAGGTATATTGCGCAAATCTGCACCACCAGCGTCAACAGCGGTGTGTGTATGTATGTGTGTGTACCTGTACACATCTACCAGCATTGCGTAAGTTTCAATCCGGTTCGATCCGGTCATGCTGCGCAATGTTGACCCTCCGGTTCTATAGTTCTACCCAGTGGTGTAACTAGTTAGGCTAGTTGTAGCCCAAAATCACTTCAAAGGCAAGTGGCGTTTTGTAAACAAGTCAAATCATGATCTAATTCTCGCGAATAGAAGCGATCGTATTGTCAGTTTAGAGAAAAATTAGCATTTGGGGTCAGATTTGACAATCGAAATTGACAGTTATAAAGTTTTGCCTTCTCAAACTTCACGATCCCGCAGACAAAACTAATCCTTTCTTTCCCAGATCATTTCCAACTCCTTTCTCCCTCGCAGTCTTCTTCAATTCCTCCTCTAATCAGCCCACCATCACCAAGGATCCGTATTCGCAGGTATAGCGAGTTCAAGACTCTCACAAGATTAATGTATAAGGTGTGCTTGCTTAAAATTATGAATGTATTTCACCAAGAACCCTACACCCCACCCTTTCTTTAAATATAATAGCATAAAATATCCTTATCAATAAGTTACATAGTCCTTTAAGAACTTCGATTCTATTCTAACTCTCTTAGCTCTTGTACACGAAACGAAAATCAATTATTTTATTCATGTGTTTCACTTATACATTTTTGCCAAACATCAGCCTTATACATACATTCCATAAGACAAACCATATAGGTCCTATAAGAATCCATAAAAGGTATGTGTGACCGCTTATACATTTCATTTGACGCATGATCTTCATAAACTTTTTGCAAGGCGTCTGCTTATTAGTTGACTTATACATTTTATGAATAATCAGCAATAGAAATTTGCCAAAAGGTATAAGGAGATTTCTATCCGTGTAGGTCCTTCCGTTTCATCAGTACTTACATCTTCACAATGGGTTTCTTTCTCCTTAATAGGTACAGTTTGTTCAATCGATGGGGCTGAATCTTCATCTGCATCAGAATGTAAAACAAGATCACTTGGAATGACTTTAAGATGCGCTGCGCTTCTTCTGATTTGTTTTCCACTAGAAGATGACAGCAATCTAACGTCTGTTCCTTTTTTCTGGACTACCTCAAACTGCTCTGGTGAAACTGTACTGAGTACTGAGTTTGTTTTTCTTTCTAAAACCTGATCACCAACTTGAATTTCACTTGGTTTTGCTTTCCTTCTGATGTCAGCATATTGCTTTCCCTTCTTTTTCTCGACTCTGTCCCGATCCCTTATCTCTCCATCTTCAATTTCCACCGATGGTACACTAGAAAGCTTTGTTCGTAGGCGACGCCCAAACGTCAACTCGGATGGTGGCTTCCCAGTAGTTGTGTGGTTAGCGGCATGATACATAAGCAGGTACTGACGTAATTCTTTGCGCCAATCTTGACCAAGCTCCTGCGCTATTTTCAGTCGTTTCAATATTGACCAGTTTTGTCGTTCAACTTCCCCGTTCATTTGAGGCCAATACGGGATTGTGTTTACCAGCTGGATTCCATATTCATCGCAGAACATTTTAAATTCATCCGAACACAGTTGAGGACCGTTATCTGCGCGCAATGATAGTGGTACTCCATACCGGGAGAAAACGATCAGAAGTTCATCGATGGTTGCTTTGGTTGAAATATCTGTCATCTCGACGACCTCCAAGTATCTGCTGTAGTAGTCTACACAAACTAACAGATTTTCGCCTTCCGGCAGAGGGCCCAGAAAATCAATAGCAATTTGCTGCCATGGCCGTGGATGGAAGCTCCTTTCTAGTCATTGGTTCTGGGGGATTCGGAGCCGCTACCAACGAGCACCCGCGACATTTTCGTTCAAATTTCTCCACATGTTGGTCGATCTTTGTCTTCGAACGCTTTTTCTTTCTTACCCCATTGAAACTTGATACCCTTCTGAGTTAAATTTCGAAGTGGCTCGTCCAGGGTAGCCAAGTTGAGTATAAACTTCCCCATGTAGTTAGCAAGACCTAAGAAGCTTCACTATCATTAACGGGTCGGCGAAAATTTGAAAGCGCATCCATCTTTGCAACAGAAGGTTGAATTCCTCGAGGAGATATTGTGTATCCCAGGAAATCAAACTCAGTTACTCGAAATTTGCACTTGTTCCAATTTAATAAGACGCTCGAACCGTTGAAGTATCTTGTTTGCTGCTTTTGGGATTTTCGAACACTGAACCAAAATCGTTCCTTGAAGACCGAGTTGGAGACCTTGTTCGCATGACAACACTATTTGAATAGGAAAGTAAATTAAATCTGCATTTCAGCGCATTGGCACAATAAGATCTCCCGTCTAAACACTTATTGCCGGATCGGATCATATGCATCAAGCCGTTCGATCCGTCAAGTACCGAGGCTTCGAAGAATGAAAGTTGCTATCCGGTTGTGATTTGCTTCGTGTTGTGCATATGTTTGACAGCTACGGATATGTCTTCTTCTTATTTGTGAAATGTCGATGATGTGAATCAGCAACAGTAGACGAATTTGACGCCAGATGCGTTATCGTTCAATGACACAACGGGATCAACTTGCGCCTCTTCTAGGGAAATCATTATTTCACATAGGGGAAATGGATGTAATGTCGGCCTAAAGGGTGATACGGTCAAAATTTGGTCAAGGGAAAACGCGTGTAAATCGGTGAAATCGTTTATTTAAAAAATCAAATTAAATTTCTTTTTCAAGTTCAATTAGTATAAAATTCAGGAAAAATATTCAGTTAGGCTTCCGCTTTTCCAAATCCGAATTGCCGGGCCTTACGCTTGACCCCTGCCATCAGATTTTGTATAGCCACCTTGTCCACCTTCTTCGCCGCAGAAAGCCAGTTTGCCTTGAACTGCTGCTCGCCCTTAGCAGTTTTTTTGGTCTTCTTTAGGTTCCGCTTGACAATAGCCCAGTATTTCTCAATTGGGCGGAGCTCTGGCGTGTTGGGAGGGTTCTTGTCCTTGGGAACCACCTGCACGTTGTTGGCGGCGTACCACTCCATGACCTTTTTACCGTAATGGCAAGATGCCAAATCCGGCCAAAACAGTACGGAACAACCGTGTTTCTTCAGGAAAGGCAGCAGACGTTTATTCAAACACTCTTTCACGTAAATTTCTTGGTTGACAGTCCCGGAAGCTATGAAAATGCTGCTTTTCAAGCCACAGGTACAGATGGCTTGCCAAACCAGATATTTCTTTGCGAACTTTGACAGTTTCATGTGCTTGAAAACATCTGCTACCTTTCCCCTTCCTTTTGCCGTATAAAACTCCTGTCCCGGAAGCTGCTTGTAGTCGGCTTTGACGTAGGTTTCGTCGTCCATTACCACGCAGTCAAACTTCGTCAGCATCGTCGTGTACAGCCTCCGGGATCGCGCTTTGGCGGTCTATTTTGTTTATCATCGCGATTTGGAGTCACTACCTTCTTGTAAGTCGATAGTCCGGCTCGTTTTTTGGCTCGATGCACGGTTGTAGACGATACACCCAGCTTATTTGCGGCATCTCGGAGAGAGAGGTTAGGGTTTCGCTTGAAACTACCGGCAACTCTCTTTGTCGTCTCAGCGGCTTCCGGTTTTCGATTTCCCCCCGATCCAGACTTCCTGGCTGTCGACAAACGTTCCCCAAACACTTTAATTACATTTGTAACGGTTGATTTGGCAACTTTTAGCGATTTTGCCAACTTTGCGTGCGAGTAGCTCGGATTTTCGCGATGCGCGAGCAAAATTTTGATGCGCTGCTCTTCTTGCTTGGACGGCATTTTGACAACTGAAGAGTGAATTCCAAAATCAAAATAGGAACAACATTCTACACACACACACCTTCAAAATGAGGGGTGTTCAGGTTTTTTAAATGCAAAATTGAAAGAAATACGTCAAGTTGATATTGACCAAATTTTGACCGTATCACCCTTTAAATGCCCCTAATTTGGGCCTATACGTAATTTCAGCAATCGACTAAATTTTCAATAGCAACCAAAAATATCCATTACTACCGTCTCAATGACGCGTACATCTAGATAAAATTTATAAATAACTGATTTTTAGCGATGGGCCCAATCTTAGATCCATAGGCCAACATTAGAGCAATTTCCCCTAAATGGCACGTTTTCAACACCTGGGTAGATATTGCACCCATCAACATATGGGCCGGGATCAACGGGCTACTTCCTTTCTGAAGGAAGACGTGATGAGAGATTTTTTCGGCTCAGAAAAATCCAACCGACCTCGGCTGGGATTGAACCCAGACACACTGGGGTGAGAAAGCAGTAACGCTTACCACTACACCGTCGGCACCGTCAATAGCAACTCCTGAAATCCTTCAGCTAGAACTAATACCAATACTACATTCAGACTAT